TATATATATATATATATATATATATATATCTGTCTTGATTTAAAACAATTTTTTTTTCTATGTACGATGAAAAGTCTACAGAAATATAAAAATAGTATACAGAAAAGAAATTAATCTTAAATAAAAAAAAATATTTCCATATATAAATAAAAATATATTATAATCTTCTTAAAAATTTCAGTCTTAATTTAATTAAATTTATATTGATACAAGTGTTACTTTTGCTCAATTCAAGATTAAAAATCCTCTATATAAAGATTATAATATTCTTGCTTATATAAGAGAATATATAGTCTCAGTTTAAAACTAATTTTTTTTTCTGTATAGAGATATGTGGAAGGAAAAGCGTAATCGTTGCACGCAATTTCTCTTTCTTCAAATGTGTGGTTCCCCGATCGCTATAATCTGCTACGATTCATTGTCGGAACTTATCGTTTTGCCCCGGAGGCGTGTATGAAAATCCCTGCTGATTTCAATCAGGCCTCTTTGACGACTTCCGTGCTTGACACGAAATCGTCCACCAACCCTGGAAAGCGCCAACTCTTCCGGTTTAAGGAAGCTTTCGGTTTCCGCATTGAGGAATCTCTCGCTCGCCACGAAGCTTCTTTTCACACCGGTCGTTTTTAACTAGACTCTCCCTATTTTTCTACTACAACTATAGTAGTCACCCAAATATTTTAATACGATGCATTTTTTTTTAAGAATATCTATAAAAAGAATGACAAATGTTAGGATATTTATGGCGCTTGGTGTAAGCTAAGTTATATCGAGAGCCCCGTGGAACAAACACACGTCGCGATGACAAACGGACAATTCGACGCGCTTGTTTTCAAAGGGCTGATAAGTGAATTGAACCGCAGACGGAGAGACGAACGGTAGACGGAACGATAGACCGAACGAGGGGGAGACCCGTGGCTATGTGCATGAATGCAGGATGCGGCCAATGAGCCACGTAACAATTATTTATTGTTGCCAGACCGCTATCGAGCCGCATCGAGCCGGCCAGACCTGTCTGCGTCCAATGAAAATGAATACGCTCGTTAAAATCCGCGTATGCCGGAACCAGCTATCTTGCCCGCTCGATAAACGATAACTACCTACTACGTAGGTCTTGGTCAAGTCTTAATAAAACAATTGGACGAAATATCCATTGAACGAGTTCGTCCTGCACGATTAATTCGCATGTCAAATGTCGGATAAGTGAATCGATCGCTCGGCAGTTAGTTATCTTTCGCAGCGTTTCATCTGCAATTTTACACGGAAAAAAAATTAGTCTTAGATCAAGACAGATATTCTCATATACAAGTAAGAATATTACAATCTTCTGGGAAAAGTTTTCTTGATTTCTGAATTTGCGTTGATGCAAATATTCTTATATATAACGAAAAATATTGCAATATTCACATAGAAGACTTTTAATCTTGAGCCGAGCAAAAATAATATCAATATTATATCAATACAAGTTCAATCAAACCAAGATTAAAATTTCCTAAAATTATAATAAATTATAATAAATTGTTACTCACATACGTAAATATCTCGATTTAAGACTAATCTTTTTTTTCTATACAAGGACATCCGATGATATGTGGTAAGATAACAAGTAATTACATACCTGCGTGGGCGTTAGATGAATTAAAGACGCCAGATGCTCTCGTTCGGGCGCGCTGAGGTACTTTTGCTGCTTAAATCGCCTTTCGAGCTCGTAGACCTGGGCCTGGGTAAAGAGCACGCGTCTCTTCCGTCTCTGCGCGAGGGGGAATTGCATCGCGCCGACGCCCATACCGACGCCGACTCCGACGCCGACGCCCACCCCCATTCCCGACGACTTGGTCACGTCGCCCATCGACTGGCCCACCGAGCAGCCGGCCATGTTGGTCCCGGCGCCCGCCGCCGCGGCACCCATCAGTCGCGAGACTGCAAAACATATTGAACAAAACGAGAATAAATACTTTGCGAGTGTCCTCTTTCCTCACGCGTCATTGTTATAAAAAATTACGACCTATAACCTTGGCGAAAGATACGTCAAATTCGCAAGTTTTCCATGCGGAAAGAATGGTCTTGCTGAAGTATCTAGAAATTTAGCCAGATGTAAAAATAATTTTGTTGAGTCTTCAAAATTATTATGTACAATGTTTAAAATTTTTGTATTATCATTATCATGCTTAAGCATCCTACATAATGTTGATAGTCCAACAAAATTATTTTCAGATCTGCATCCGACTAAATTTTAAATTTATCAGCAAAATTATTCTTTCCACGAAAATGAGTATATAATATTCGCTATTATTAGATATAGAGAGAATTAAATTGTTGAGGAATAATTAAAAGAATTGTTAGCAATATAGACTTCGGTGTCGTGACAGGGATTATAATAATTATGACATGTTCATATTTTCATAAGTATACGTCTAAGCGTCCGTGTGGCTGAACGATTCCCTCTAAATTCGAGCTACCGAGGGCTACCCGACGAGCGAGCGAGCGAGCGAGTCGTCTATCGCTTGTCAGTTGGCGGAGGAGCTGTCAAAAATGAACGCGCCTGGGCGCGGACAAAGGGAACGATTTAGGCGCTGCGAAGTGCTACGTCACCGGAGCCCGGGAGGTCCCAAGATGAAGTTCCGAATTATTATGCCTGTGAGAAATGTATTCTCGAGCCGTCAGTGGAGTCGAGGGCGAGAAAGAAATACCACTTGAGCCCAAGGAACAAACACCGTCAAATTTGTTTACCCCGACGTGCCCGGCGTAAACGGGAGAAATCGGTGAAGCTCGTAGCCTCAAATCCAGAGCGCAAAACGCGAGCTGTATTTTCGCCGGCGGAAGAAGGCGATGAATTTTCGTCGGGCGGCCTCTCATTACGCGGATATCCGGAGCGATTGTATTCGATAGCCTATATTCGATAGTCGATTCGAGTCGCTCCGTCTCACCTCCCTTTTTCAGGATTGTTGCGCCGAGATTCCCTTTATCCGAATTAATTAAAACAGGCTCGCGCCACTTGCACATTATTGGTATATTCTGACCACAAATTTTAATAAGTGATTATCTTCATAATACAACAATCTTCTTTAGAAATTCGAGACGATCCCTCCCTATAATTAAATTTATATTATTTCCGAAAGGGAAGAGAGTCTCTCTCTCTCAGGTGTTGATATGCGATTAGTATTAATTGGCGCCACGGGGAATTTCTCGTAAATCACATCGATGATGTAAATTATTATGTTTCTCGTACGATGCCTATCCTTTTAAGCTGCACGTCAGCAGTCGCCGGAGGAACAATGAGTTACGGGTACGGCTGACGGGACGGGATGTTTCGATGTAACTTCTGCCAATACACGAAGGCAGATCCCGATGATGGGCGAACAACGCGCGTGCAGGAACTCGTTAAGTAAATTGACGTTTCTCCAACGTCTACCTGACCACCGGCGTCGCACTCTGCCTCCTCACCGTCGAACATCCCCGTTTCGAAAACGTAATTATGTGGCATAGCGACCGAGGCGACGGGGAGGCGGGGGGGGGGGGAAACCTCTGCCTCGGCTCTTCAGCTTCCAATTAGGTGACAAAAGCCCAAAGATTTCTCGCTCCGAATCACGGACGACTTCGCGTACCGCCCACAGTGTGAAAGTCGTCCAATCCGGCGGGATAAAAATATCTGATTGCATGTAGATATATAGGCGTAGCGTTTAATTCCATCGATTATATAATTGTCAATTAAATAATATGCTATATTACAATTTTGTATCTCGTTTCAATTTTACTCGGACCAAATTTTTTTTGAAACGCCATAAAAGTTTATCGATCTATATTTTGCAATTGAATTTGCAATTCTATTCATGATCTTATGTAATATAAAATAATGTAATGTAAATTATAGACAAAATTGTGAAATTGGTTTTCAAAATCGTAATGTATTTTTCTGTCAAATATGTAGAATATAATATGATTAGAACTAATAGAGATTAAAGCTTGTAATTAACTATCAAATTTTAAACATTTAGAAAGAGAAAGTATTATCTATTAAAGTGCGAAAATAATAAGTATCAAGGTTAAAAAAAATTGATAGTTTAGTGTCATAATAAGGGTTGCAGAATATTATGAAAAAAGCAAATATAGAAAGAGAAAGAAAAATAAATATAAATGAAACTAATGCAAATGAATTAAATATAGATAAAAAGAACAATATAAAACGAAAAAAATCTCACCGCGAATTTCCAATAAAAATTCAAATTGTTTACATGTGAGAAATTTTTTATAATTGGTTTTATTATTTTATTTTAATTATTTTCTTTAAATTAAATAATCTAAAACTTCTAATTTACGTTTTTAGATGAACAAATGAATAGTATATAATTATATATCTTCTTTTATGTAATATATTATTTCTATATAATTAATACACTTTTTGATTTATTGATCATGGTAAATAAATTCAACAATAAAGAAATAAAATCGCTTTGTCATTAGTGCACGACGTAATTCTACTATACACAATATGCTTGACACAAATCATAAAAAATTATAAAAGAACTATAATCTGACGAGAGCAAAAGTATTTAATAAAACATTATTAAAATGCAAATCACGAGATCATATATTATTATCAATCGATGTCACGTATCATCGAAAGATGTCAAACTACGAACAGTGTAAGGATACTAAAACGTTAGATCAAAGAGATTAATGAACGGATACTCCTTGATCCGAAAAACTTTTTTCGTATATAGTCAACAATATGTAATATAAATTTAAAATTTAAATGAATTAAATTCCGTATTAAATACATTAGTGATTTAGCAGAAACTTCTTTGTGATTTATATTATTGTTTCGTGTGATATACGATATTATCTATGTAATGTTGTATGGAAAGAACAGTTTTGTGGCATTAATCTAAAAATTTAGCCAGATAAAAATTTGGAAATAATTTTGTTGGATCAACAAAATTATAATATAGGCTGCTTGATAAGCATTATGTTCACACTGCACGAATTTTTGACATTCTAGCAAGCAATTTGAACATATCTTTATCCTACTTTATCCTACATAATTATTTTGATATAGCCCAACAAAATTATTTTCAGATTTATATCCAGATTTTTAAAATATTTTAAAATCGTCTTTCCCGTGTAATGGCAGTTTCGGAAGACGAATGCAAACGATCGCGAAACGCATCGGGTACGGAATCCGCAGCTCCGCGGACACCGGCGGGTTTTCCCCGCGCTCTGTTTATTCTGCAAGGGGCGAGGGTAAGTCCCGCGAAATCGAATTCGTACCGTGCGTCCGCGTCTCAGGCCTTTAACTCGAGGACCAAGTCCCTCTTATTTGTTTAACTAAAATCCTCAGCGCCGTCCACTAGTCGCGCGCGCTTTCTCGAATTTTAGATCGATACGGCGAGCGATCGGCTCGCTAAAGTGGCGCGTGCGATGGACGAAAATCCACAGAGGAGACGAAGAGCGCGCCTTGTTGACACAAGTCACATGAAAGATGCGCGCATTGTTGGTCGACGGTGGTATGCGCGACGTGCCTTTTGTGGACACTGAAACGCGAAACTTATGCGGCGCTCTGGACAACCAAATGGATCC